TGCTTGTGGATTGCTTGTGGATTGCTTAAATTTTTGTAAGGGCAATAATTAGCATTGTGCACGCAAGTTGGATGCCTCGTGGACGTGGAGAAAGCATTAGAAGTAAAATTATTTTTGTTTTGTATTCGTGAGATTCCGTCAGGTGGCGTAGTCAGAGCGACCGGTTCGTGTTTTTTGTGTATGAAATGTGTCCAGACAACTTTGCAGAAATTCGCATCATAGAGCTGGCAAAAGTTTCGAGCGGAGCATAGAGCATGAATCTGTAGTTATTTAACATGAATAAAGTGTATGTTGTGTAAGCGAAGTAACAGTGTGAGTATTTTTAATTAATATCTGTTCGATGCTTATTCAGGCCTGCAGCCTATGGACGGCCTCTACTGTTGATCAACTTTAGCGATCCGATACGCGGTTAGCTTCAATTTCTGCATGTAGATGGCGCTGCGTATGCTCTAGCGCCAGTGACAGCACACCATCTGTGTTGCTTGCGGCAGAGAGAGGCAGTCCACGCGCCACGATACATATTGATTCGATACACATTTATTAGATCCATATCGATTAGATACGTAATAACGTAAATAAAGTCTCGTTCTAGTGAAAACGAACAAAGCCGAATAATATCAATATGATAGGCTGCACGTAAACAACCACCTGATTACCCACACGTCACAATACGTCACGTATCACGCCATTTTTTTCGGGGATACGTAGTCACGTGTCTCCTTCGCATGGTCACGTGTCAGTCACGCGGTCGCCTCGCGTGTTGACAACAGATGGAGGCTGTGTCGCCCTGTACTGTCAGTCTGAATTATGTTTACTGACATAGTGGAAAATGATTGACATAGTGGAAGATGATTGAAATAGTCGGGGTGGGGCGACATGTCATAGCATCTGATGCTATCACTCAGTTGTAAATTAACATGCACTGCATGCGCCTGTCTCGCGTTAAAAATAGCATATAATCGGAACTAGTATTTATACGCGTAAATATTTGAAACGTGGCAGCTCCAAAAACATTAGCCGTAACTGTGTTGAATGGCCCAGTGTGATTACACGAGCGTTTATAAAAATATTATCATTAATCGTGAATCTTGTCAAAACATAAAGGAATGCGCACTTCGGAAACTTTCACGAAAGTAAAAACACGGGAGAAAAAATTAATTCGGGAAAACGCTCACGTAGAAATAACATCGGTGTAGATGGCGCTACTGTTGCTCTAGGCGTCTCATGATACGAGAAGCGGAAAGTTTTTGCAGAAGCGACAATCGAGCAGTCTTGCGAATGAAGCTCTGAGTCTAGAAGAAGCCAAGCGTAGCAGCAAAAAGATGCGGGAAGGCGGTGAAAAAGCAGGAAGCCATGATGATGCAGGCAAGTGTGAAACCCAGAAAGACGTAACCAGAGTACAGAAGGGAAATGTATAAAGGTCACCTTACACAAGGGAAACTTAGGGGGGATACTTAGGGGGGATATATATATATATATATACATTACGTGATTTAATATCGCTGCAAAAGATAGTCATAAATTCCGATGCACTGCACGTAACCAATCACGCAAAAAGCTTAGTAACGGTCTTGTTTTTGCTTCAGCGATGAAAGGCTACTTGTGCGCAGAGAGTTGCACACATCTGTTGGGGAAGAAGCGAAAGACCTCTTAGCTTTTAGAGCGCTGGTCATCAATCATATAACCTTCCGCTCTCGGGCTGAATTAAATCCCAGCCACTCGCCGAGAGAGAGAGAAAAAGAGAAAAAGAGAAAGAGAGAAAGAGAGAGAGAGAGAGAGAGAGAGAGAGAGAGAGAAAGAGAGAAAGAGAGAGAGAGAGAGAGAGAGAGAGAGAGA